AGATAGATAGATCGATTAGATCGATAGATCGATTAGATCGATTAGATCGATTAGATCGATTAGATCGATTAGATCGATTAGATCGATTAGATCGATTAGATCGATTAGATCGATTAGATCCATTAGATCCATTAGATCCATTAGATCCATTAGATCCATTAGATCGATTAGATCGATTAGATCGATTAGATCGATTAGTTAGATTAGTTAGATTAGTTAGATTAGTTAGATTCGATAGATTAGATAGATTAGATAGATTAGATAGATTAGATAGATTAGATGGATTAGATAGATTAGATAGATTAGATAGATTAGATAGATTAGATAGATTAGATAGATTACATAGATTACATAGATTAGGTGGACTAGGTGGATTAGGTGGATTAGATGGATTAGCTGGATTAGCTGGATTAGCTGGATTAGCTGGATTAGCTGGATTAGATGGATTAGATGGATTAGATGGATTAGATTGATTAGATAGATGAGATTTGATTAGATAGATATAGATAGATAGAATAGATTAGATAGAATAGATAGATTAGATAAAATAGATAGAACAGATAGAACAGATAGAACAGATAGAACAGATAGAATATAAATAGATAGATTAGATAGATTAGATAGATTAGATAGGTTAGATAGATTAGATAGATTAGATAGATTAGATAGATTAGATAGATTAGATAGATTAGATAGATTAGATAGATTAGATAGATTAGATAGATTAGATAGGTTAGATCGATTAGATCGATTAGATCGATTGGATCGATTAGATAGATTAGATAGATTAGATAGATTAGATAGATTAGATAGATTAGATCGATTAGAAAGATTAGATAGATTAGATAGATTAGATAGGTTAGATCGATTAGATCGATTAGATCGATTAGATCGATTAGATCGATTAGATCGATTAGATAGATTAGATAGATTGGATAGATTGGATAGATTAGATAGATTAGATAGGTTAGATAGGTTAGATAGATTAGATAGATTAGATAGATTAGATAGATTAGATAGATAGATAGATAGATAGATAGATAGATAGATAGATAGATAGATAGATAGAGATAGATAGATAGATAGATTAGATTAGATTAGATTAGATTAGATTAGATTAGATTAGATTAGATTAGATAGATAGATAGATAGATAGATTAGATAAGATAGATAGATAGATAGGTAGATAGATAGATAGATTAGATTAGATTAGATTAGATTAGATTAGATTAGATTAGATTAGATAGATAGAAACAAAAGGAAGCAAAACAGATAGATAGATAGGAAGATGGATAGATGGATGGATAGATAGATAGATAGATAGATAGAGCGAGCGAGCGAGCGAGCGAGCGCGAGAGAGATGCAGATGTGCTTACACCGCACACTCTCTCTGGATCCAGCCATACCTCCCGGGATTGTACCCTGCAACTGACCGCCCGCCTGGCAAAGATACCGCCTAAGTGGTGCGATGCGCGGGTGGAAGCATTCACGGATGCCAGGGTGGAGGCAGTACTGCGGCTCCAGATCGAGCTTGCATCCTGGTTGCTGGCAAAAATTGGGGACGGTTTTCTGACATGTTTTCCCGTTTCCTGGTGCGCTCTGTTTTTCATTGTTTTCTTGATGAGTTAGGTGATTTGGGAGAAGCGCTTCATGCCAAAATATCTGCCGGGAAACTCATCCTTGGATTGATGTGGCTGGAAAATGAAGCTTATATATATATATATATTCATATGTATACTGCCATACGGCACACGGTAAAAGCAAGACCAAAAAACATATCCTGTTCCAATCTCAAACATGGCGACTCAAAATCAAACCCAACAATGTGTACTGTCTGGGCCCAAAACGCCAAATCGGAGGGATTATATATGGTTGTTTTGTTTTTGTTCGCCTGTTGATGGTTAATACCCATTCTGGGGATGATTCCCCATTATATATGGTGAAGTCATTCTGAGGTCACTGAAATTTGCCCAGGGGCATCCATGACGCATGGGTATATCCTAGTCCTATAGAAATCTGAAAAATTACATGTGAAAAAATGGTGGGTTCATATGAGTTCGATGAATCTGGAAAGTAGGGCATATATCTCCGTTTATGGCGAAGACATGCCAAAACTTACAGTCACACGGTTCTCAACTAAACAAGTGGTAAACCATGATGCAGCAAACAAAAGATGTCAAGTGATATGTCTGTTAATGATGTGTCCAAAGGCCCACACAGAGCCTCATTCATACAAAAACGACTAAACAATAATCACAAACAATACATTTCAATCAACAAACACTGAACAAAAAAACAAATACATATAGAATAAACGAATGGTGCTGGGAATGGAAGGTCGTGGGGGGTTGGAGAGGGAAGTCAAGGAAACAGTTCGTACATACATATATACATACAGATAACATAGAAACAAATATGAAAAACAAAACAAACAAAGCGGTTTTGCGAGAGGAGGGTTTCCAGCGGAAAAACAAAAACAAGACAGTAGAACGCCGACAACAATTAGAACAGAAATTGAGTTTGGATGAATTGTTGTCTTTTTTTACTGTTTTCGTTCTTTTGCTCCCCTTGGTTTTAAGTCTGTGTGGGACTTACAAACCCATAAATGTATGATAATTCAAATTATCTATCTGAAACAAGCAAGAAGCGGAACATGCAAAAATGGAAAATCACTTACGATTTGAATTTAGAGGAAACATATTTGTGGATGTGTCAAATAGCATGATATTGTCCAGCTTTCGCGTTTTTGGTGGAAGGCTGAGGGACATGGTAATTACACATGTTGTGAATGCTGCAAGGGAGGTGTAAAATCTTCCCCCGGTCAATTGCACATCCTCAAGTAGTTGGATGCCCAACACAACAGCCTCAGAATTGCTGATATCCTCCGGTAGTTTTCGCATATTTAAGCGATTGCTATGGAACATTGCCCTTTTACAAAGGACAGCCCATTAAAAGGGGCGATGTTCGATGGCCATGTTAAATAACCAGAGCGTATGTAGTTCAAATGACTCACCAAGGTCCAAGTGTGAGGAACCGATCCTATTTCCCCTCAATCAGTCATTCCAAACCATGGATTCAGGTCAATGAAAAATGTATTTGTTTGTTTAAGTAAAATCCCAAGGTTCAAAAAGGACTTCGCAATGCTTCGCACCATGGGTCATCTAATGACCCCTATGTATATATGAGTGTGTATATATATATTATATTATATTATATTAAATATTATATTATATTAAATATTATATTATATTATAATATTATATTAAATATATATATAATATAATATATATATATATACATATTATATTAAATATATATAAATATTATATTATATATATGTATGTATAATCTTATATATTGTATATAAATATATATATATATATATAAACACATATATATATATAAACACACATATATATATATAAATAAACAAATATATATATAAACACATATATATATAAACACACACATATATATATACATTAACAAAGTAACACATTCATGAAAAATAAACATCATGTTAAAATATAAAATGTATCTACGACAAGCAACCCGTTGTGACCCAATCCCCCTTACCTTGGACCGCATGCCAAGGCGCTGCACGGCGCGTCTGAGTCTTGGCTTTTCCGGTCTCCTTCGTGAGTTCATCCGTCCACATTTTCTGCGCCACAGCATGCATGTCCTGTGACGAAGAACCCAGCTTTTCTGACCTCAGAAATGAAAGAAATGACTGTCTCGTCTTGTGGGTGTCGCCCTGTGGGTTACCACAGATCATGCACGTTGTATGTCTACGTCAAATATACTCATTTTATGTTGCACAAAAACATGTTGCATAGCCAAGGTCTTGAACATGTGCAAGAGTCCACTTATTTAGATGTCATGATTTACTCTATATATATGTAAATACATGCACATTTTCATCAAAATTGCATGACACCAACGTCATAAGCAAAATCTATATACCAAAAAATATACATGCAAATGCAAAGATGTGCCTTGACTTAAGATGGACTTAGGACAATTTTAAAAGGACTTAGGGAAATTAACTTTAAGTTATGCTAAGTTATGTTACAGGTTTTGTAAGTTAAGTTCTATCTTTTGTATTTTTCTTGGCGATAAAAATTGTAGTTTTTTTTCCTGGCGATTGTGATGTGATTTTGGGAAGTTCGGTTTTTCCCGCTGCATATCGTTTCCTTGGCTTTTGATCTCGAAATGTGAAGAGTTTCTGGCAAAAACAGCGGTTCGGGTGAGCTTGAGCAAGAAAAACAACAACGGATTTCAGTCTTGAGGAAACACAAAAAAACACGTTTTTAACACATACGCGTTTCCAAGCAGGATGGTGAATGAGAGCTGGAAACACAATCGCGTTCCCTTACCATTTTGGTATTTTCATGAGGATACACATGCGCGTTCCCATGTTTTTGCGGAAACACATCCCGAATGTCAAGATTTTTGAGCACCATGTGCATAGATATGGAAACACATCTTTAACACATACGCGTTTACAATCACTGTTTGTGTCTCTGTGTGGAAACGCATACGTATTTACTTGCTCTGGAAGTGTGCAATCTAGAAACACATGGCGCGTTTCCTTGTTTTCTTCTCTTAACAACAGGAAACACATGCGCGTTCCACGCCAACCTTCTCTCATCTTCTCTTGAACAACAGGAAACGCCAGGATTTGAAGTCCTGCAGCGTCGCTCTCTGTGCTATCACATTTCAGCTGCACCCATGCTTCCCGTGAAATCGTGCTCCACTTAAGCAGAAAAAAATGTCCTGCCATACAAGACATCCGTTTAGAGGCCAAAAAACAGCTATATTAAGGCTATTTGTTGGATTTTCTTGATGTATCTGCTATTATGGTGTTATATCTCCCTATTTATTGGTACAACTTTAACATGACTTATACAAGTTACCACCATTTATAAATATACTTGAACAATGTTATAAACTTAAAAATACAACATATAAAATGATTTGGGTGTCAAGGCTTCAAGGCACAACAGTGTGTATACATATATATATACACCTATATCGAGTAAAATTATACAAACATAAACACATGTATATACACACATATGCTTATATATATACGCATACATACATATATTTACACATCTACACAAACGTATACATGTACATATAATTATATATATATCTGTATGTATGTAAATATGTAAGTATGTATGTAAGCATGTAAGTGTGGAAATAAGTAAGTATGTAAGTATGTAAGCATGTAAGTAAATATGTAAGTACGTAAGTATCTCTGTATGTCTGCCTGTATGTATATATGAATGTATGTATGTATGCACGTGTGTGTATACGTGTACATACATGTGTATATATAGTTATATATGTGCGTACATGTACGTACATGTATATACACGTAAATATATATATATATACTCTATGTATACCTGTGTATACTGTATGTATAAGCGAACGCAAATATACCCAAATAAATCGCGTCACTGAAACTGCAAATGAAATTACAAAACATCTGAAGACGTCTCATACAAGTCTTGCAAATACGAACTGGGTTTGATTGAATTGGGAAATTCCAAATTAGATGGCTTACCATGGTTTATCATTATCAGTCATCAGTCCTACTAGTATCAAAATTGCAATTTTGGGGCATACCCTCCCCCGTTTTCTACATATCTGCGTATGCTCTGATTTTGTTCTACACATTAGTGGCTGAGACCAGAAGCTTCCAGTGTAGCACAGCTGCCTTTCACACATTTTGTATTCATCCATCCAGGAACAAGTGGGACTAGACACTACTGTAATTCGGTGTGGTAGAGCTGCTTTTCATTGACTTCAATTCAATCAATTGCACTAATCACATCCCCCCAATGTCGCACGCCACCCCAGAAACCGTGGTGGGCGCAAAGGATGAAACCACATATATTTGGGACCATAGAATGGTGGTGCTTCATATGAGCGGGGGATGGGATTATTTGGGGCTTATTTTTCAGCATTCCTACCGGATCCTAGCGCATGGCAACATGCCCAGTGACATCTCATGAATGGGTTCCCACATGACCCCATGGCAACAAATGGGCAAAAAATGAAGGTATAACATATCGATATATAATATATAGTATATCCGTTACTACAGAAACCCCATAAAAGATAGAAAAGTCAGTAATGCATCACTATTGTGTTAGGATTTTACCATATTTTACCAACTTCTATCTATTTGGGGTTTCCTTTTAGACCCATTTGCCCCGGCACCGATACTTCAAAGAGACAGTTTCGGGAGGCCCAAATCTGGAGCCAAAGTATCAGCCCATTCCTCAGCTCTTTAGCCGGGGATCTCAAAGGTGGGGGCACGGAAAATCCAAAGGATTCTTGTTTTCGGAAAGGAAACGTTAATTCCTCCAAGTTTGATGTTCACCTGTCATGTACACGAAATCAAGCACCTCATCGCATGTCCGGCCTTTGCATCCGAAATGACAGTTTTGAGCGCCATGTTCTTGTACCGTTTGGAGAACAGGAAACCAAAGTCTTGGAAGCTGCAAAATTAACGAAAAAACAACAAACATTCTAATTACTTTCATCGAGTGATCCCAACCCTGACACACTCTTCTGACATATTTTCTGACATAACATCTGGAAGGAAATATTGCATATATATATATATTCTGACATTCTATCTGACATTCTATCTGGTATCTATTCTGACGTACATTCTGGCATATATATATATATGCTGGCATTCTTTCTGGCATTCTATCTGGCATCTTTTCATGCATTCATTCTGGCATTCATTCTGGCATTCATTCTGGCATCTATTCTGACATTCTATCTGGCATTCTATCTGGCATTGTCTCTGGAATTGTCTCTGGCATGTGTTCGGGTCCAGGCGCCCTCCACAGCATCGAGAGCTCGCGATATGGAGTTCGGGTTGAGGCGCACTGCTCGCAGCATGGCTTGGATCCTTCATGCCCACAGTCCCGACGATCTGGCAGAGGAAAACGGAGAAGGTGAAGAAGGTGAGGAAGAGGAGGAAGGAGTTGCACCTTTGTTTAAATCTAGAGACTGGCAGGTGAGGAAGTAACGTCTCAAGAAAGGGAGACATCAAGGCTTGCAGCTGGAGTTTGGGGACATTTAGCATCATTTAACATCATTTAACATCATTTAACGTCATTTAACATCATTATTTAACATCATTTAACATCATTTAAGGTGTTTTGTTGATGTGTACCATCCATGTTTTTTGATGTTCAGTTATAAGTCATGGGAAGGATTCGTTGCAAAAATCAGCCGTCCCGGCTCCAATGGTCCAAGATTCGTTGCAAAGTTCCTGGTAGGTGGTCTCTTGACTGGCCGCCACTAGGAGACGGGCCGCCGAGATCTTGGAAACGTCTCGGAGCAATCCGGCGTGATAGGACCAGCCCAAGCCTGGAAGCTTCGTCGGTGAAGCTTCACCGGTGAAGAAGACCCAAAAGAACATTTATAGACCCTCCAAGTACCCATAGAAAATATATAGAAATGGGAAGAAATGGGTATATTACCCATATGTTTGAGTACGTTCACCAATTTTTACAGGTACTTGGAAGGTCTAGGAAATGTCAATGGTCACGAAGTGATTCAACGGGTTTGTTTGTAGCTATTCCAGTAATGATTGATTGTTGGCTGATCCCTTCTCAATAGGCTCTGCTGTGCCATGGTCAAGTTCCATGGTAACCCATGAGATCAATGGGCTACGGTCATCCCATGCCATTGGAATCCCAACGCGCCATTATACAAATCCAAACTAAATCCGATTAAAAAGGATTGATGACCATCCTCAGATATGGGCGAAAAATACCAACCTTTTGAAGATGGTACATATGATGAAACACCAGATGATGGCATATCATGTCCATATTATGCTTGGTTTATTGTCCTATTGTACGAATCTGATCATTATACAGCAATTCTGCCTGAGTTGGTGGGGATCCTTATTTTCCCGTATATATAATATACACAATATAACAATATATATATATATATATGATATATTATGTGAGTGTGCCTGTCCAGATATCCCAGAACGTAGTTTTGTGACTTTAAAATGATCTGATGACTAATAATATGTCGTCCACTGGGGGGGAATCATCCTAAGTACGGTTTAGAATAAACAAAAACTAAATTCACCAACTGGACATGTTGTTCATCCACTTTTATATAAATATATAAATGATATCTAGTTTTCAAATCTATATGTGCGTATATTGTAAATACAAATCTGGAATCTAGGCAACTTGAAGGTACGGCAAGTACGTTACGCGTGTGGATTCTGCAACGTTTGTGGCTTTCCCGGCAAAATCGGACGTGAATCCAAGCCACTGGGGTGCGTGTTTTTGCGCCATGAGATCTCGCACACAAACAATTCCTGACGACAACTAGGAAAAAACACAACTGGTTGGTGGTATACCTACCCCTCTGAAATACATGGAAAAGTGTTCCAAGCCACCAACCAGCAAGCAATGATAAAAAAAACATCAACATGCAGCATATATGTTCAACATGACCAATGTCAAAACATGTCAAACGTGGAAGGTATTGCACCTATACAACATATACGGGCCGCCAAAAAAGAATGAATAGTACACAGTACAGAAACACAATGAAACATGTCAAACCAATAACAGTTACAATCATTGTAGAAATTGGATGGAGCCCCAGATGTTCCCAACCGGATGTTCCGGATGCAACTTCAACAGCGAGCCAATGATACCCTCAAATCCAATGGTTCGTCATCATTTTCCCCACCCTACGATAAAGGGGCACCCCAATATACCAAAAAAGCAAGCTTGATCCAGGTATATCAGCTATATTCCCATCTATTCATCCCCTTTTATCTCTTTTCTTTCCTTTAAAAAAATGGTTTTACTTATTGTGGCGCAATATTTTGGTGCTCGACATCATCTGAGTTTCTCCAGTCTTCTTGGTGGCCAGTAGCAACGGCGACCTCTGTCCCGACAGATTGGCTGCGCCGTCACTTGCTGCGCTTTGCGCAGCCTGATCTGCTGCCTGAGCCATCCTGTCACAGCACCGACGGCCCGACGGCTATCGGCTATCCCATCCGTTCATCTTTTTCAGCACAGCCATGGTTAATGGTACCAAACATGTGGTATCATCCCCCAATTAATATTGGTTTCTATGTTTAGTTTAATATTGGGAAAGGGATTTATTACATAGTAGAACTATTCACCCAAAACCGATGGTTTTGAATTCAAATGGCCTGAGTTTGACAAGACCCTCAACATCCCAGGATTCAGAGCATCTCTGAATTGGCAATGAACGGCAGAAAAATAAGGTTAGATCCACAACGGCCAAGGTAGTGAGAAAATATGTCTGCCTGCTCTCTGGTGTTTTTTGCCCGCGGAAAGTGGCTCACAATATCACTACGGATCAAGAATGGAAGACCGACTTCCCTTTGCCTAACAGCTGTAACATGAGTAAACTGAAACTCTGGTACTGATGCTGGTATCCAAATGTTTCTTGAGTTTCTTTTGAGACAGCCTTGGATGCTTCAATGTTTGCCCTACCAGTGTTTAGGAACGACAGCTCGGCAAGTCACTTGCTGAATCGTGCCTGGGATTGTAAGCACGGTTGCTCCCAACTGATGAAAGCAAATAATGCTCCAAGTAGACAAACGGGGGCATGAGTGGCATACATGTTGGGTATCTTGTTTGAAACAAGCGTAGCTACCCTCCTTGTTGTAAGTCAGCATGTACACATTCGCTATAAGTTAAACCTCAAAATCAAACCTCATTGCAGGGGCCCTACGCTGTGTACACACACATGATTTTCTATAGCTGCATTGCATGAAGACCCATTCACAGCCCCAGCATACAGCAAGTCCCGCCTCTGGATGCTGTTGGACATCTCAAGTTCGTTGAGACCCAACTCTTTTGCGAGGTTCTTGAACTCCTGGGAGACACTGGGCCAGAAAAACCGCGAAAACGCAGCAAAGGCCAGGTATGATTTTGATGATTTGTAGATTTTCTAGCAAACCCCAAGAAGATAGAAACATGTCTCCAGGATAGTTGCCTCATATTTCCATAGATGTCTACTGTTCAATCTTTTCTATCTATAAATTGGGGTTGTTGTAATGAAATTTCATGCAATTTCAACATCCAGTCATGATCAAACATGACTACATGATTAATCATAATCCAGAAATGATGGATTTTGTCAGATTTTGTCGTGGGTTTTTTCACCCAAAAGCTGGCATAAACTGAGAACGTCCACTGTTTGTTTGTTTTTTTGTGACGCAGAAGCAACGATTATGTTTGCTGGTTTTCCACTGGGTTTCTGTTTCTACCAGATTGACCAAGCACCTACACAAATAGGGTAACCGTATTAAGCTGGTAGGGAAACATACCCAATTTTATGGGTACTTGGCTGGTCTAGGTACCGATCTTCTTGCAACAATTCGGCTTAATTACCCAGTCTGCGTTCTTTTTTTCAAAATGCACAATTTGCTTATACATTGAAATAAAAGATCGGGTAAAGCAGCCCCCTTCAAGGCTTGAATGCTCACCGCTTTCCGATGCACTGGAAAAAATGCTGAGCGCGGTAGGCGCTTTTGGGTTGAATGTTGATCCCCAATCCATTCCTCTTTGCAGGGGGATGTCTATGTTGGCAATTGGCAATACTTTTATGTGTACGAGTTCTGTATTGCCGTCCCGCGGAAGGACTCCTGCTGCTGCTGCTGCTACTGCTGCTGCTGCTTCTTCTACTACTACTACTACTCCTCCTACTCCTCCTCCTCCTGCTGCTGCTATTGATACTGATATTGATTCTCCAGTCCCGGATCATTCATGCTGGCCAAACGGGTCAGCAACATAGCATTGGGTTTTGCACGGCTTGAGATGGTTTGATGCCTTGATGGAACTTCTGTGGGGAAGAAATCGTACACCATCTTGCATGGTTGACACCCCCTATCAACTGGTGCAGGATTTCTTCCATCTACAGTATTATTCAAAGGAAGTTGGGAAGCAATACTTCCGTGTTACGGACAAATAGAAGTCAGCGACTTGAAATGATGCAGGGTGGTAGATCACATAACAATACATAACAAAAGAATAAGAAGCAGTTAATGACGGGTGGTGACGAAGGGAAGTGGTGACAAAGGGAAGTGGTGACGAAGGGAGGTGGTGACGAAGGGAAGTGGTGAGGAAGGGAAGTGGTGAAGAAGGGAAGTGGTGACGAAGGGAAGCGGTGAAGAAGGGAAGTGATGATGAAGGGGAGTGGTGACGAAGGGAAGTGGTGACGAAGGGAAGTGATGATGAAGGGGAGTGGTGACGAAGGGAAGTGGTGACGATGGGAAGTGGTGACGAAGGGAAGTGGTGACGAAGAGAAGTGGTGACGATGGGAAGTGGTGACGAAGGGAAGTGGTGACGAAGGGAAGTGGTGACGATGGGAAGTGGTGACGAAGGGAAGTGGTGACGAAGGGAAGTGGTGACGAAGGGAAGTGGTGAGGAAGGGAAGTAGTGAGGAAGGGAAGCGGTGACGAAGGGAGGTGGTGACGATGGGAAGTGGTGACGATGGGAAGTGGTGAGGAAGGGAAGTGGTGAGTTGGGGAGGAAGCCGGAGCACGAAACCTTGTGTTTTTCCATGTAAAGTGGCTGCAGCCGGCGATGAAAGGTACCTCGTGTGTGCGACGGGTGCGGCTGCGGTCGGTTTGCCTTTTTTTTTTGCCGCAGTGTAACGGTGGCTTCAAGCTGCTTTGGGTGTGCTTGTGTGTGCGTAGTTATAGGGTGTTTTGGAATCTGTGCTTGCAGATCGCATTGGAATGGCTGCATGATGTTGCAAGGGCTGTGTTTTGGGGAGGAAGCCGGAGCACGAATCCTTGTGTTTTTCCGTGTAAAGTGGCTGCAGCCGGCGATGAAAGGTACCTTGTCTGTGCGGCGGTTGCGGCTGGGGTCGGTTTATCGTTTTTTTTTTGCCGCATTGTAACGGTGGCTTCAAGCTGCTTTGGGTGTGCTTGTGTGTGCGTAGTTATAGGGTGTTTTGGAATCTGTGCTTGCAGATCGCATTGGAGTGGCTGCGTCAAGGTTGCTTGCTGCAGCGGCTGCATGCGTAATACTATTGTCTTTTGCAGCTGAAGATCGTAAATCGTATTGGAATGGCTGCATCCAGGCTGCGAAAGTGATTTGTCAGCAGATTTTCCCAATTTTGGCGCTAATAATTTTCCTTTTAAAATTCCTTTCAAAAAGTGCTTCAAAATCGTCTTTTTGTCGCTTTGGCGTCGAGATCCGGTTTTGGAGCTGCAATTTCCGACGCCATTGCACGTAGTTCTATTGTGTTTTGCAACTCAGTCTCTGCAGATCGCATTGTAGTGGCTGCGTCAAGGTTGCTTGGCGCAGCGGCTGCATGCGTAATACTATTGTCTTTTGCAGCTGAAGATCGTAAATCGTATTGGAACGGCTGCATCAAGGCTGCGAAAGTGATTTGTCAGCAGATTTTATCCATTTTGGCACTAATAATTTTCCTTTTAAAATTCCTTTTAAAAAATGCTTCAAAATCGTCTTTTTGTCGCTTTGGCGTCGAGATCCGGTTTTGGAGCTGCAATTTCCGACGCCATTGCACGTAGTTCTATTGTGTTTTGCAACTCAGTCTCTACAGATCGCATTGTAGTGGCTGCGTCAAGGTTGCTTGGCGCAGCGGCTGCATGCGTAATACTATTGTCTTTTGCAGCTGAAGATCGTAAATCGTATTGGAATGGCTGCATCAAGGCTGCGAAAGTGAATTGTCAGCAGATTTTCGCAATTTTGGCGCTAATAATTTTCCTTTTAAAATTCCTTTTCAAAAGTGCTTCAAAATCGTCTTTTTGTCGCTTTGGCGTCGAGATCCGGTTTTGGAGCTGCAATTTCCGACACCGTTGCGGGCAGTTCTTTTGTGTTTTCCAACTCAGTCTCTGCAGATCGCATTGTAGTGGCTGCGTCAAGGTTGCTTGGCGCAGCGGCTGCATGCGTAATACTATTGTCTTTTGCAGCTGAAGATCGTAAATCGTATTGGAATGGCTGCATCAAGGCTGCGAAAGTGATTTGTCAGCAGATTTTCTCAATTTTGGCGCTAATAAGTTAATTTTCCTTTTAAAATTCCTTTTAAAAAGTGCTTCAAGATCGTCTTTTTGTCGCTTTGGCGTCGAGATCCAGATCCTTAGTAGTAGTACTGGGAAGTGATTCATGAAAGCTTAGATGACATATGAGAAGAGATGAGATCAGAAGAGATGAGCTGGGATAAGGTGAGAAGAGCTCAGATGAGATGAAGTGTGGAGTGTGAAGGGTGCAGTGTGCAGTGTGGGGCGTGAAGAGTGCAGTGTGAAGTGTGGAGTGTGAAGTGTGGACTGTGAAGTGTGGAGTGTGAAGTGTGAAGTGTGGAGTGTGCAGTGCGCAGAGTGCAGTGTGAAGAGTGCAGTGTGTAGTGTGGAGTGTGAAGACTGTCAAGTGTGAAGTGTGACGTGGAGCTTCAAATGTGACATGTGAAACAGGACACCACTTTCGCAGAGTGCACGCACCCTATAGATCAGGTTAGGCTATTAAGAGCAAAATATCTTATAGGTTATCTGTAGTCTATTTTCTATCTAATAGTCAGGATGCAAATAGGATATGCATAACCTAACCTCTGGGAAATAGGATAACCTATTGTCTAACCTATTGTCTAATTCCTAGCAAATAGGATAACCTATTCTCCAGCAGTTTGGAGGAAACTGCTGTCAAACTGCTGTTCATCAGTTTCAAGGCTTGTTGTTTTCATTGGAAATTATTGGAGATTGTTGATGATTATTGATGATTATTGGTGATTATTGGTGACAGCCTGAGTGCTTTTCAAGGATGCTGGCCAATGTTTTTTTCATTGGTGGACAGTTGCTGCTCTTGTGGGGATGTGGTTGACTCAAGTGGCCTGTTTGTTATTTTGGCTCAATGCTCTTGCATGTTCATGTCTTAACAGAACAAAGGGCTGGTGGTGGTATACATCAAAGATGTCCACCACCAACAGCTCTCTTTTCCAGCCTTGGGCAATGGAAAGGTCTTGAAGGCAGCAGCTAAAGTACTGCCCAGTGCTCTTTCCCCTTGCCATACAGAAGGTTTGTGGTAGTGGACATGTTTAACGTTCACCACGTTTTTCTGTTTCAGAGCCATGTTGCAAGTCCCAGAAGCTTGGCTATTGGAGAAATATTCTATTGGAGAGAAGATTCTATTGGAGAAAGATGTTATGGGAGAAAGGTTCTATTGGGGAAAGGTTCTATTGGAGAAAGATGTTATTGGAGAAAGATTCTATTGGGGAAAGGTTCTATTGGAGAAAGATGTTATTGGAGAAGCATTCTATTGGAGAAAGGTTCTATTCGAAGCTTATCTGGCTCCTAGAAGTTGTATTGGAACATTGGTTGGATTTTGGAGCAAGGTTGTTTTGTTTCTTGGGGTTTACTTGTTGTATTGGAGACCATGTGGGCCCAATCAAGATCTGTTGCTTGGTGGGTTTTTCGATGCATTGGTGATGTTTTGAGGTATGTGGTGCATTGTGGCTCAAGCAAGGCTGCAAAGTGTCTTCAACTTCTTTAGCCCATGTGTGTTGTTTTCAACAAATAGACTGAACACCAATCATTTGGGGAAAATTTCAGAACCAGGGGCCAAACCAGAAAAACTTTGTAGAAAGGTTGGGGTCATAAGTGCCTCAGCTGTCAACATGATTGCCATGTCCTCTGGGGAGAGAAGGGTATGGGTGAATTTCGTTCCCTTCTTGATCTCAGAAAGCTGGCTTCGAAGCCATTTGGTTTCCCTGGATGCCAAGCCACCACTCAAGGTGACAATCCAGCGAGAAGGAGATCATAGACACAAAGATCAGTACTGCCAGGCATTTCTTTGGTATCGCTCAACAGAAGAAGCAGTTGCAGTAGCCCAGGTGTTGGATAGAACCACAAT